AAGTTCAGAATCTTTAAAGGGAACAGTGAGAAGATGTTGGTGTTGCTAAAATAGCTGGTGTTGCTAAGGTTTGCATGATGCCAAGTCTGCAATTTTCTGATATTTTTTGTAATGAAAATGGATCACTATGTACATGGGCAAAAGAATGTTGCAGAAAAAAAGCTGAGAGATTTGAGAACAAATGCAAGTGTTATATTTATTTAATGTATTGCGTAATCTGTATCTAAACCCTTTCCAGACAGACATCCTATATATGGATTCCATATGAATGTCTCTCACAGCTGGGTGCAGAGCCAAATTTAGACTTGATAAGGGCCTAAGCTATTTGAGGTATGGGGCCCTTTATAAGTCTGTTACAATATATTTCAATACTATTTATACTATATTTTAATTTTTTGGGGGGCCTCGAAGAAGGGGGCCCTAAGCTATAGCTTGTGTAGCTTATTTGCAAATCCAACCCTGGCGCTGTGTCCCATGCATCACTCGAGAATGAAATTTAAGTGATGCATGATGCATATGTGTATTTTAATCTGAACCATTTCTTATACTAAAAACCTCTAAAGACCACTAGATGGCATCTTGTGTCCTTTACTTTTGACCTGAGCATAGTTTAAAGATCCTGATCTTCAATTTGCCAGACTCAGGTGTGAGCTGTTGCAAGAGAGGAGAGAAAGCATAAAGTAAACAGAGCTCATCCCTTACTGGTCACAAGATTCATTTCGTGTTTTTGATATCCCTTCGAATCCACCTTTTTATTCATTTTTTCATTACTAGTAGGGTCTTTTAGGGTTATTATGTGGGGTTCTGTTTGCTTTGCATTGCTTTTTTTCGCTTATATTTTGGATACTTTCCTTTTTAATTTGGAAAGCATTGACTTAGTTTGTTATGCCATGCAAGTGTTATTTATTTGAGGAAGGATATACTCACATGGTAAATGAGACAATTAATGACACGGATGAGAGTGGTGGTTCATTTTAAGAGTTAGAGCATGATATTTCTAGTGATTCTGATACGGATGTTTTGTCAGAGACTGAGTTCGCTGAGTGCCTTGTTTCTTCTTGTAAATAGACGTTCTTGTATTTTTTAATTAATTTTAAAGTTTATTAAGGTATTTTGGCAATTAAAACTTTGAAATAAATTGAAAAGCTCTTCCGAAAGTTATTTCTCAAAGTAAGCAATTTTTTTAATGTATTTTCATGTAAAGTAAAGGAAAACGATAATTAAATGCTAGTTTTAACATATATGTCTAAAAGAATTAATCTAAAATGATACCAAAAATTATGACATCAGGGCTTAAACTTTTTTGTAATTGTTTTCCTTGAAGTTAGGTTTAGCGATGCATCCCCCCCTCCTGTATGGTGATTCCTTTTGACTGCCATACATTCTGACAGAACATCCTTTTATATTGGCCAACTTCTGATAAATATTGGTAGTTTGGAAATTTAAAAAAAAAAAAAAAAAAAAAAAAAAAAAAAAAAAGATGCAAAAACCACCAACTTTCACTCAATAAGTAACATTTGCCCTTTCATCTGTTAACAGTTGTCAAACTTTTTCAGTTAAGGATAGGAGTTGACACTAATTTATAATCTTCCATCCCAAATTTTTAAAGAATTTTTTTTTTTTTTTTTTTTTTTTTTTTTGTGTGTAAGCTTGCTGACTAATTTTGGTATTTCCATCTAATGATGCATAATTTTAAGTTGAAGAAAGTATACTTCCGATTTAGTTGTGATTCTGCATCTCGACTTCAATTCTCTGAGGGATTTTTTAGATTCTTGCAATCAGTTGATATTACCAAACCATCATTTACATATAAGCATATGATTAACTTCTTGCCATTTTTGTTTCTGTAAGCAGTTGTTTGCTTCACTTGTCTTGAAGCCAAGTTGAGTCACAAAGTCTCCAAAATATTTATTCCTACAGCATGATATTTTCCATATAAACTGCATTTCAGCTTACAGACTTTGTCAAAACCATGATTATGTCCCTCTGGTTGCTACATGTATATGAATTCTTCATGTGTTCCGTATAAGAATGCTGAACAGACATCAAACTGAGAAAAATATGTTTTCTCATCGTCTGTAGTACTGAGAATTGAATGAACCATTCCTAACTTTAGTACTGGACTAAATGTTTAATCATAATCAACTACACAACACTAATTAAATCCTTTGGCAACGGGTCTAGCCTTGTAGTGAACGAGGGATTTGACTATATGCGAAAGGACAAATTTTTATTAATAACAGCAGCAAAAGGCTCACAAATAGAATCATCAAGGAACTTTGTCATAGTGCCGTCACTTTAAATAGAAAACGTATCATTTGAGTGTAATGGTTTGTGATGATTTGCTTAATCGGAATAAAATATTCATTAAATCAAGATACGTTGCTTGGCTTTTAGCTAGTAAAATGGATAAAACTTATTAAATTAAGAAAGTTGTTAAATACGCATTCTTTAAATTAGAAATTTGGCAATATTTTCAACATGAATTTTTTTTGGGGGGAGGCATATAATTTTGTCAAAATAAAAGGGAAACACTTTACATAGATAGGATATGGTATCCAATCAAATATTTGGATATAAAACAGAAACAAGATAATATTCATGTAATGAGATAATTTGCTGTGAATTTTTTAAAAATTAAAACTTAAGTTTGTGTGCGTGTGTATACAGTACAAAGTCCGTAATCCAGACTCCTCGGCGATTACGGATTTTGGGTTTTTCCGGATTATAGATCATCAATTTAAATCTGGTAAGATGGCATGCAGAAATTATACAATTAAAAATATGAAATTGTAATTTATGAAATAAAGAGTAATTGTGATCTAAAGAGTATCAAAATTTACAAAAAAAAAAAAAAAAAAAAGCTTAATATTTATTTGTGTACTTTATTAAACATTTCTTTCAATGTAAGTTGTTTAAGTTGCTTTGTTTTTTTTTTGCTAAACGCACATGCGCAGCATTAAACGCGCATGCATAAAGCATAAAAAAAAAGTTTGTGGCTTTGAAGTCCGGATTACAGATAATTCCGGATAATAGACGTTCGGATTGCAGACTTTGTACTGTATATATATAATTTATTTACATATATATACCGGGTGGCCATAATTAAACTGACAGTGCTCACAGTGTTCTGTAGCGCGATCTATTTGCAAGAATGACGCCACATTTTGTAGGAAGATTAAACAAGACGAAGGATTCCGCGAAAAAACAAATTAGTTCCAAAAGTCACCGCTAGGGGAATATTTGGCGCTGTGTAATAGAAAATAGAGTGTTAACAAATGCAAATCAATACGGAAATTACCTTTTATTTTGCATTCAAATGAGGTTCAATGTGGCTGCCGTTGTTGTGGACCACATATTGCATTCTGTGCACAGTATGCACAACAGCAGAAAGTAACATGTCTGCAGGAATCTCCCGTACAGTCCGTGATATGTTATCCTTCAACGTAGCCAGGTCCTGGACCACTCCTTGATAGACCTTGGACTTAAGGTAACCCCATAGCCAGAAGTCGCATGGGGTAAGATCAGGCGACCGAGGTGGCCATGCAGTTGGAAAGTAGCGGCTAATGACTCTTTCTGTTGTGAATTTCTGTCGTAGCATCTGTTGCACCCGTACAGCAATGTGTGGAGGGGCTCCATCTTGCATGAAAATGATTTCCCCCAGGCATTGTCTTTGCTGAAGTGCCGGAATGACAAAGCTGTTCAACATGTGGCGATATTTCTCTCCGGTAACAGAACAGGTTTCCGGTCCTGTCGGGGTAATGTTCTCATAGAAGAATGGACCTACGATAAATTCCGCTGTGAACCCACACCAAACAGTTACCTTTGGTGAATGTAAGGGAATTGCTGTGACTGCATGTGGTGATTTGTCATCCCAAATTCGGCAGTTCTGGGTATTCACAGTTCCATTCAGGTAAAAGTGGGCCTCGTCTCCCCATAAGATTTTCCACACGGCCAAGCATCATCCACCTCCATTCTGGCAAGAAAAGTGAGAGCAAAAGTCAATCGCTTATCATGGTCGGGGTACAGTAACTCCTGTACACGGCTGATCTTGTACGGATAGAAGTTGATAATCTTTCGTAAGATTTTCCATATCGTACTGTAAGGCATATCCATATTCCGAGCTACTCCACGAGCGCTAGAGGTGGCAGCAATATTGTCTGTTGGTCCTCTGTCGACAATCGCCGTGGCAACTGCTTCGATTGTATCCTGTGGTACAGGTTTTCGTCCTCTGCCTGACTGAACCTTCAGAGAACCTGTTTTCTCAAACGTCGCAACCATTGCTTTTAGCCCATTAACTGACACAGGACCGTTACCTTTACGCATTTTTTGTGCTTTCTAAAAGCACGAAGAGCGGCTGACGCGTTGCACTGGTTGAGGTAAAAGAATTTGACCAGTAACGCACGCTCGACTAAAGAAGGAGACATTGCACATAAACTTTCAATCCGATTGATTCGAAACGTAACACATTGCCTTTTAAAACCCAAGCAGCTGGCACTGTGCGAATGGATGTAACGTGAAATTTGAATAAAGAACTTTTTCTTCTGCTCAGCGTACGTGATATTGCAGATCACGAGACTTTATCGGTGTTTATGTAGATTTTACGCTTTTTTAAAAGTGTTGCCATATTGCACTTGAACTAAATCAGAAAATGTGCATAATAAAAGGTAATTTTATTTCGTATTAATTTGCATTTGTTAACACTCTATATTCTATTATACAGCGCCAAATATTCCCCTAGTGGTGACTTTTGGAACTAATTTGTTTTTTCTCGGAATCCTTCGTCCCCCGTCTTGTTTAATCTTCCTACAAAATGTGGCGTCATTCTCGCAAATAGATTGCGCTACAGAACACTGTGAGCACTGTCAGTTTAATTATGGCCACCCGGTATATACATGATTGCATGTGTGTATATAATAAGTACTTGGCGTCACATTTTTAAACCAGTATAATAAGTACTTGGTGTCACATTTTTAAACCTTTTTTCAATTCATTTGTAGATCAAATGTCGGTTATGGTATTGAAATCAAGAATGAGCACGGATGATAAACATTCTCAGCAACAGAATTTCCAACGAATACCTACAGTACATGATTGGGAAAGTTACAAAGTTAAAGATGTTTTTGATGATGGGACAATGAGCTTCTTTTGGTAAAGAAAAAGACTATTTTTATATGTATTAAATTCTCTATGAAATCTGCATTTTTCTGAAAACTAAATATATGTATTTATGTAGATTTATGTTCTTTTGTAATAAATTATACATTTAATAAATCAAGTTTAATGTATGAAATTATTTTGCATTTTTTTTTTTTTAGGCAAGCGCATACTTTAACAGTTCTTTTTTTCTTTACCTGTGCTCTTGTGTATGTTTCGTTCTTTGAAGAATCGCCAGTAGACTCTGAATACAATGTTAAAAGGTACGCACTACATTAAATTTTCAGCTTGTAATCTTTTGTGTATATTGACATACACATGCACATCTGTGCATGCATATTTTTATTATAATTTAGGTGTTGATGATGGAAATACTTGCATTTATGGCCAATTGAACAATTCGTTTATTGTTTGCATGATAATTTAAACATAAACCCAGCTTATTTGGGACACAAAGTGCAGCTTGTTCATTGACCCTCTGAGTGGCATGACAACCTTTATCCGATCATGATATTTTTTTGTCACTTGGTGTATATTAATTTATAATTTAAAATATTTTGCTTTCTTTAACGATGTAAATATCATCTTAATGGAAGTTTATGAAAACAGACTAAAATTAGCAGTTGTATAATAAATGCTGTTTTAATACAGGTTTTCATGACTAGATCTAAAAAGCCGTGCCACTGAGAGGGCTAACAAATTTTACATTTTTAAGATGAATTTGCAGTGAGTAAGAAAAGCAACACAGCAAAACAGAGAAGTATAGAAGGAATGCACAGATGATAGCTCAAATGCCTGGATAAGACTAATTTATTTTTAATTCTCCATTATTTTGATTAATTTTAAAATGGTGCAGTTTTGTGAAATTTATTATAAAACATCTCTATTTCCCAGGTATTAATAATGTCTCTCATTTATAATATTTTTATCCATATAATTTATAATTTGTGCTGAATTCTGTCTTGTAACGTGTGCATGTATACACTGTAAAGACAATTATACATGCTGTTCATTATTCTATTACACCACCTTTTGCACAGATAACACCAGTAGTGTGTATGGGAAGAGATACAAGGCGGTGCTGAAAGCAGGATGGTGTCATTGTTGCCCACCAGTCTGCAGTTTCCACCATTAATTCATCAAAGAATATGGTGGTGAGTACTAAGAGTAAAGAGACCATTGCAGTTAGTTTCACAGATGCTCAAGATGATTTATATCTAAAAACATTAGAAGTTAATTCTATCCAGTGTGATAAGAATACCCAATAAAGAATCACATAAAAGATGACCCAGATAGTTAACTGTCACTATTGGCCTGCCTAATGCCTGTCTGAAATGACAAATGCAGTGCTTTGTGCAGTTTATGCCACACTCAAAGACTGCCATCCACCTGCAGCAGCTAGAATTACAGTTCAGTGGCCCAGATTGCATCATTTTAGTCTTCTGCTGTCCAGTTATGATGCAATTTGGCAAACTGCAGCTGTGACAATCGATGTCTTTTTTGTAGTAGTAGAACCAAAGATGGCCATTCGTTGTTATAACCAAATTGTATGATCTGCCTTGAATAGTCCTTTTGCAGATGCTGTATGAAGCACCTGCTTTAAAAATCTGTCATAATTTGAAATAAATTTAATAATTTGAAATAAATATCATAAATCTGTCAAAATTATGCCTTTTGCCATAGCAGGTGTGTATAATAATTTGTCTTTTCATTGTGTGTGTGCGCATGTTAATAAAGATCACCCAAAACCCAGTTCAACTTAAGTTAAAAATAGCAAGCAAAATAATTTTTTAAAGTGCATAATGTGTACAAAATGCAGTAACATATGTGTCAGTAAGATATGTGCTGGGAAAAAAAAAATTAAGAAATATAATTTTTCTTTTCTTTAGCAAGCCCTGCAACCATGCTAGTAGACTTACAAGTTTACAAATGGTTTTATGGAAACATTTAAAAAAATGCACATAACCTCTTACCAGTTCTATATTGAGACATGGAATTTATAGACTAGCAATAATGCTAATAATAGAATAGCAATATGCATCCATTCTCGTGCTTTGATTTGAAAATATCACATTGATCATAGCATACAATGTTTTGGATTCATGGATCAATGATTTAACAATCACAAAATTTTTAAAAGCATATCTTCAGAATTTCCGATAGAAGGTTAAGTGTTTTCATGTATTTTATTTTCAATCTTTTCAATTTATGATATCAATATTCAATTTTCTTTAATAAGATAATCAACATTTTTGTCATTTTAGCTTTATTTTATTGAACATCACTTTTGTTTTACTTAAAAATCACATAAAAATATACCACATAACATTTAACAAGAAAATCTTTAAAATCAGCATAACTTTAAAAATACCTAATAGAGTGTTAATTGTTGCTATGCACTTTCTATCTATCTATCTATCTATCTATATATATATATAATGCAATATTAAATTTAAACAAATTAAATTTAAATTTTAACAAACACATATATAAAAGTAAAAACGCAAATTAAAAATATATATATATATATATTTTTAAAAAAATGTGTAAACATATAAAAGATTTAAAAGATTAAATTCTCGAACTAATCTACAATATCATTTAAATTCAGAAGCATAAGCAAATCAAGTGCAAAACCAATCCATGAAAATAAATTCACTAATTTAGCAAATTAAAATTAATTTGAACAATTTTTTTAAAAATGCATAAGTGAATGACTGTTGAGCAGGCAGGAGACAGACTTATCAAGGGAAAGTTGCCTCCAAACCTAACTCTCCAATCATTCAATTCGTGTTTCGTCATTCATGCAGGCAAGGGTAAAAGTCAAAACCAAAAGTAAAAAGTAAGGAATGTCCAAAAAGAAATACCAATAAAGTGGTACCCTTAGAAATTAGCATTTAAGAATTAAAGTTTTAAAAGGAAAATACTAATGAAGTCTTTTGAGAAACAAGCAAGTAAAGTCAAGTATTAAATTAAACTTTTTTTTAAAAAATTAAATTAAAAAAAAATAATTTTTTATAAAAAATAATCTAGAAACTAATGTATTTTAGAAACCCTTGTCTTCAGAAACCTCCCCAACATGAATATGCATATCAATAAAAAGAAACTAAAAAAGAACTAGACATAATCCATATAAACCAATAAGAAACATAAAGAACTAATTCACAATTTTTAAGAAACAAATATATACTAAAAATAAAAAAAAATTTCATATCTAGAAAATACTTAAAAACTACATAAAAATTTTTAAAAAATACTTAAAGCAAGTAAAATAGTAAGTTTTAATTCTAACTTACCTACTAAATGAGCGTTGGGGTCTGCAAAAGTGTTTTAAAAGAGAGGTAAGTGTGTTCTTCAAATTAATTATATAGATGGCGCTTATGTAGGTAAAGTTGAGTGCCAAGCTGCTATCTTTGTTATATTAAAAATTTTTTGCAAACATTAATATTAAAATATATAAAAATAAATCTAGAAAAAATTAAATTAAAAATCCTAAAGATATGTAATTCAAGTTTTAATTTTATCGATAAATTATTTAGGGAGTTAAGCCAATCAAGAGAGGTAAGTTTGCTTGAAGTAAAATAGAGTAAAGTGGTATTGTGAATTAATAAATGTAAACTGTTTGTAATGTGAAATGTTTGTTCTGTTGAAAAATTGTGTAATCTACTGAATTATTTCTTTAAAATTAATGCATAGTGATATTTGGTGACAGCATCCTTTTATTTGAAAAGTGATGTGACACAAAAGTGAAATGAATACATAATTGAGGATTATGGTTAATACATTTAATTGCTTCATAACAAAGACTTGTCTTCATGATGAGCTATATCTTGGTGCATTTGTCATAATTCTGAGAATGCATTTAATGCTTATAAATGCAATATGTTGTTCTCAATCATATGCCTATTTTAGAAACAAAATTTGAGAAGTTTTGAATTATCTCATAATGTAATTTTTGTTTTTTTGTTGCTAAAGTCTGTTTAGAGGAAATAAAATATCACTTCCAAGTTTATAAAATTTAGTGAAAATCTACTACAGTCAAAAGTCGTTAATTCGGACACCCATAATCCGGACCTCAAAGCTAAAATCTTTCTGCGCATGCGCCGCGTTGACGCATGCTCATAGGCGTTTTACGCGTGCGCGCAAGACATTTACGACTGGGGCATATGCGTCTGCGCAAGCGCAGAATATGTTTTCGCGTGCGCGTTTAATGTATAACGGATGGTATAAGCTAAAATTATCTAATTATCTATTTCAGTTAATGTTGATGATTGCGTTGTTCCTTGATCTTCGAATTGGATCCGGCTTATTATTTTTTGCAGACCGTAAGAGCAATTTTATAAAAGTAAGCTTGAACTTTCGATTATGTCAAATAGAATTTCCGATGCTGGAGCTCCCAAAGGATTAGAAAACGAAAGTATGTTTCGATGTCCATCAAACAAAAAATGAATTGCTACAAAAAAATGGATAAAGGTATATCCTTTGTTTATCTAACCGTTCCAAAATGTGTTTATCAATTTCACGCTGCTCTGCGCGGGGGGAGGGGGGACGTCGCGGTGCGCAATGAACTGCAAGTTGATCTGTCAGCACTATCGTTATCTTCAGGGCAGATGTTTTTATTTTATTCGGCTTATAATTCCTTACTAAATGTACTATTTAATCTCGATGTACTCCGTGTTTGATATGATTTAAATCAAATTCCTCGTTATTATAAATATCACGAATACAAATCAAATAGTTTTCTGGTTGCAATTTTCTAATTTCGGCTATGCGTAAGGTATGCTTTACGCATGCGCGCGTTGAAAGAAATGTTTAATAAAGTAAACAAATAAATATTAAGCTTCTTTTTTTGTAAATTTTGATACCCTTTAGATCATAATTGCTCATTATTTTATAAATTACGGTTTCATATTTTTAATTTTATAATTTCTGCATGCCATCTTACCAGATTTAAACTGATGATCTGTAATCCGGAAAAATCGATAATCCAGAATCGCCGAAGTCCCGACGAGTCCGGATTAAAGACTTTTGACTGTATATTCTTCCCATTGATATAAAACTCATAAATAGTAAAATTAAAAAGTTTTGGATTACATTTTAATAGAATTTTTCATTAAGAGTTGTTTTGAGTATATTACCACTTCCAGCTGTCAATTAAAGATTTATGGGCTTTTGATAAAATATCACTTTCTGTTGTCCAGTTTTACCCAAAATCTAATATTGTTGTTTTTGTCCATGAGTTTCATGGAAGAATGGTTGGTAGAGCCTTAAGGAGATTGGACTTCTATTTCCACCCCAACTTTGAGGGAGAGCATCCCGAGGGTTGGTCCAAGGGTCTCCCACCCCTCTATCCTACCTCCAATAAGCTGTCTGTTAAATGCACCAAAATAAGCTATCTGTTAAATGTATATGCTCATATCATTGATATAGGTATTGTTGCACAAAGAGGTGATGACTAAATTATTTCGCACTGTTAACGTTTGTCGCACTGTTAAGTCAAAAGTTAACGTGCTCATAAACAGTATGGGCAATTGCTGGAACAGTCTTATGCTGCAGTATAGATGTTTTAAAAAGATTTGAGATATATGTATTTGAAGTTGAAACTGAAATAACAGATCACAATCTGCTCATTATCATTACAAAATATACTACATTCCTTCTGAAGCTTTAGTATGGGTTTTGGAACTGCAGTGCTGTAATATTAAAGCAATCCATGGAGAAGGATCACAAAATCAAAATGCCAGTTATTTTTATTTTAGCTGGGAATGTCTGATGACTGTGATAATGATTGGATGTGGATTTTTTAGGTTATAAAATAGCACACTAGGGCATTCAGAAGAATGGTTTTGTGAATTACTTTTTAAAGGAAACTGGCTAAATTTTCACAGTACCTCCCATATAGCCTGCCCATTCATCAGGATTGAAACTGGATTGAACTACCAATGTTTAGTGGTCTTATTCACTCAGTTGCTCATTTGCCTGACAATGATAATGGAAGGCCAGTAGTGAGTTTTACACAGTATGTGTCAAATAAAGAAACCCTGTGTCACATTATTTGTGAATCCTATCAACATACAAAGAAATAAATTTCAGTAGTTGGCTAATTATTTAAGTAGGGTAAGTAGTTATTAATTAAAATATGTTTAACCCGGCAGAAGGCACGCACCCAACACTGACGTTGGAGATCGTGCGGGGTGACTGAGTCCACCCCACTCAGTTTCATTAGAAAAATGTGTTATATATTTTATTGAAACCATTTGATTATAAACAATAATTGCAATATTTCATTTAGAAACAATACTTCTTTACTTAAAAAAACTTATTTCAATATTTAAGAAAAAATTCCATTCAAAATAAGTATATACCTAATCAGGGGTCAGAAGCTAACATACACTTCTGGCAAACATAGGAAGAATGAATTTTACATGAAAAATTATCACATATTTTGCAAGAAATTGTAGTTTTATTGTCTTTGGATCTTGGACACATAGCATGTCAGCCTTTGTCGAGTTTTGATTTCTTTGATGGGCATTTTTCTGATACACTAGAAGTCACATTATCGATGCTTTCACGAACCACTTTAGGAAGCATTGACATATTTTTTGTTATCTCTATGTGAGGCACTGTATAAGAGATATAGCCAAATTTTTTAGGAATTTTCTACTATTTCGATATTGTAAGGGAGGGGTCTTTGTTGAGAATAAGGCAACTCGGGTATTTGTTGCAGTGACGCTTACACAGTAAAAGATGACCATCGGCCATCTGGTGGGTTTTCGAGTTGTCGAATATGATGATAACATTTCATCAACTTTATCTACACCACCTTTTGTAGCATTATGAAAGTAAATTATTTCTGGTTTTTTTCGTATCATCACTTTCATCAATGGCATCATCGCAATGCATTGTAGATGACAAAACTACACATTTTGATTTTTTAGGCACATACGATACTAGTGTTGCGTTCTTTTAGAACCCAAATATAAAAGAATAACAGTTCCTATTTTTTGTTTGGACGAACTTGGTGGGAATTTCAGCCTTGTTTCTGTTCAGGGTGCCTGCGATAGTTAACTTCTTTGATAAAAGTTCTTTTGCTAGAGAATAACTTTTATACCAATTATGTATTGTTACATTTCTAACCAAACAAAGGGGTGCACCGACGTTTTGTAATTTCAAATGGTGAATTTTCAAATCTAAAGGGACCTTCCAACTGTTGCCCTGCATATATCTTCATGTTATAGCTGCAGAAAGATCTTGAATCTACTAAGGCAAATATTTTGATTCCATACTTCAATGGGTTGCTGGGTATATAGGGATGAAAGGAACACCACCCTCGAAATTTCTCTAATTTTTCTTTGATAGTAACCTGTTTACCAATAAGGTATATCTTTTGGCAGTTTTCATTGAAATTGGTAAAAAATTATCTCGCAGCCGCGAGTTTATCCAATTTTTTCCGAGCTTCACGATTGGTCACATTGTCTAACTGTAAACCCCTAAGAAGAAAATTAAATCTTTTATATGACATTGTGTTCCATAAAATTTCAATGCCTGATCCATCAGTAGCCCACAAATCTTGCGTATTTTTATGTGATGATTTATGCTAGCCCTGCAGATGTAAAAGCCCAAAAAGTGCTCTAATTTCCACATCATTTGTCGTTTTGGCATCCTGATCTCTGGTGTAATTTACCGATATTTTTTCAATATAAATATTTGTACTTCAGATGTACAATGGATCGTATGATTTTAGCATTGAAAAACAATTCTCAACTTTCTAGAGGCTCCGTTATATTGCGTGCAGTTCCGTTTAATCCTGGTAAATGAGTTATTATAATTTGAGAAGATGTTTTCACTTTTTGATTTGGTTTTCCTTTCTGCCAAACTCTTATTTTTGCTAATAAAAATACTTTTTACTAAATCAGGATTTCTGTCTTCATCATTCTGCTTAAATTCACTTTTGCTGTCCAGAGAACTATATATTTCTTCATCAGATTTATTTTCACTATCTTGATCAATTTCTCCTTCAGAAGACTCAATTTCATCTAAGTTCTCAAATGTTCCATCTCTTTTTCATATTCGGTAAATTTACGTTTGTGAGCCATTATCTATCAAATAATCTGACAGAACAACATTACTCGAGAGCACAAAGCTAAACTGCTACTAATGAAAAATTTCGAAGCAGTAACGGTTGCACGTGGTGACTGAGTCACCCCATTCCCTCATGGATTCCAAGAAACAATTGCTTCTCTCACAGAAAAGGAAAACAAGCAAAAATAACAATACACATTCCAAGGGGAGTGTCAAACAGGAGGATACTAGAAGGATGATTCATTAAAATGAAATATTTCCTGTTAGGATTATTGATTTTTGACGCATGGGGTAACTCTGTGCCCCGCGCGACTTCTCCTGGGTTAAAATTGATTAATTTGGTGATTCTCACCAGGCATTTAAACATAATGGCACATCAGAGAAATAAATAATAGTGTTCATCAGTTTGCCATTTTTTAACTGGGAAAAAAATTTTATTATATAGTTTTACCTTACTAAAGTGAGTCCCTGTATTTAAGTGAGAGACAATATTTTTCACCTAATGAATCCTATATATAACTGTTAAGCTGAACATGTGCTAAATTTTTACTGTTTTGTGGCTGTTAAACGGTTATGCTGTTGCAATTGTTGATAAATTTATCACCGCATGTTTATCAACAATTGTGCGGGGATAAAAGGTAAATATAATAAATAATGATTCACCAGGTTGGTGTCAAGAATATAAAATACTAGTTGGGGGTAAAATCAATGATGTTTCTATGTAGAATGCTCGGTTTGAGATGTATGCCAAGAAGATACGCGGCTATGGAGTCAAATTTTTGATCATACAGATTTATGCCAAAATGATTGTTTCTTCAATAATGAGGTATTTTATATAGTGCCGAAATGAAATTAAGAATCAGGACTCTCCGCCTGTTTTATTTAGGGAAAGGGAAAATTAAATACGCATACATAAACCATACCCCCCTGAAAAAAAGGTTGGTGGTGGCTTTGAGGTCCATATTTTAGATCATTCCAGCTATTGGACATTTGGATCTTAGACTTTGTACTGTATTTTACATTTAAGAGGATTTGAATTTTTATAATGATATTCATTTTCTTTGCAGAGGTATTGTTGCGTGTGTTGTTGTGTTTTTACTTCTTGGTGTCACACAGATTCCTGATGGACCATTTCGTAGGCCTCATCCTGGTAAGAAATTTTCTTAAAACTGTGAAAACATGTCTTGTATAAAAGGTACAGCTTTAATTGTGTATTGCAGTTACAGGTTTAATTGTAACAACTGGTATAGTATGCCAAAACATTTACCATATATTCTGGTGTATAATGCATGCTATTAATATAAAAAATAAGATTTACGGGTGCATATCATATGCCAGATTTAAAAATGATGTATTTAAATATAAAGAAAAGATGAGCATACAAAAGTTACATTTCTACATGTATCTAAATGCTGTTTACTTAAAAGAAATGATATACCTTATAAATTTAAGAATTTTCATTATCAGATAACCTGAAAAGTTTTTCATATTCCTTCTCCGTTATATATTCAGGCATATCATGGAATTCTGTCTCATCTTCACCATCATTATTACTTTGATTCATAAATATCCTCTTTTTCATCTAGATTGTTAGATATACTATATTTTTTTAATGACTTTTGAATTAGATCGGGATTAATTTCATTCTATGCTTTTATTATCTACTCGTACATTATTTCTAGACTGGCATGATTTAGCCTGTTTTTGTAAATGCTTTTTCACCTTCTTACATCCATGTATCCCATTGCACTTTTCTTTCAATGGTTTGTGGATAGATGCATAAAAAAGCTGAACTAATGGCATCAATCCACTTTGAATAGCTGCCATGTCTGTGTTACACTCTTCCAACATTTTTTTCATGTTATCTGCTAGATGGGATCTGAATGTTTCCCAAACTAAAAGACTGGATTCTTTAAGGCAGCAGGATGCTTCTGTCGAACATTTTTTTAAATCCACAATTTTACATTGTTTTAATCCATCCATCCTGTCTTGTGAACATGAATAAAAACATATCATTTGAGAAATTACATTTTGGTATCATCTTTCTTTTAAAAATAACCATGGATTTTGGTATTGCACCATCCGCTATGCAGGAAAGCACTATGGTGAGATGAGATTTTTTGTTATTTTTTTTTAAATGGGAACCATTTTTGTTCCTTTCACATCAGTTGTTTTATTTTCTACCATATCAAACATTTGTAGTTTCATCTATGTTTCAGTATGTGACAGTAAGTATTTTTATCTTTTTTAGGTCAGTAACATACTTCTGGAAACTTATCAGTTTGTTATCTAAATCTTTTGGAAGTTTACTTGGAAGTTAACTTTTTTTTTTACTCGACTAAATTAATCCATGCTCTAAAGTGACTACACCAACTCAAAGTTGCTTTAAAGTTTTCACTTTCATTTGCATTCTTTTTTGCCCATTTTAAGCAAATAAGTATACAATGTTCCTTGGTACAATTAATCCATTCTGGTGATTTTCTAGGATACAGTTTTTATCACTTTCTACTAGGATAGGCCATTTTGTTACTCCTGCACACAAAGCACATTTATCCTTTGGCATATAAGTTACTGTGATTTCATTTCTGTTCCACTCGGGTATTGTCATCAATTACTTTGATTTCATTTTCACTCACTCACGTATGAAACTTTCACCAGTACCAAAGATCCTTGCTGCAGAACGATTTCCATTTTCTTTCACAACTCGAATGACTTTGCATTGGAAACCAGCACTATGCTCGTTTTGTTTGACAGAAGCCATAATTACTACTACAAGAAAGACTAGATCAACTGTATTTTAACTAAAGGAAATATGGTTTACTAAAGCCTTTGATGTTCACTTCAAAACCATTGCTTCAAGTGACTGCTGAAGGAGAAAAATCTGACTTTTAATTCTGTGAATTCAATCAGGTCAGATGTGCATTCTAACCACAAATTAATTCTCTTTTCTTAAAACACTAGAATAACATACTTATGCACATCTATATTGAGAACAACCCACCCTTCTCACAGAATTATTTACTCATTCAAGCTTTTCCCCTACATTGTTTCCCTTATTGCTTGCCAGTTCAATATGCCATTGTTCGAAAACCTGGAAAAAAATCTTTGAATGAATGACTTCTAAAGATAAGAACATTGCATGTGTGTATTTCATGTTTCCTCATAAAGAAAAGGGTGTGCATTATATAGCCAGTATACCTAAAAGTTTTAAAGTATAGTTTAAAATTACAGGTGTGCACCTGTAAACTGATTCATGTGATATGCCAAAATGTGCTGTAAATAATGGGAAAATAATGTTATGGTTTCATCATCTGAGCTATAAAAATTGCAATTCAATTAAAAATCCTGGATATGTACATATGTTACAACAACATAAGGAGTAAAGACGAAAATTGTTATAAAAATTGTAAAAATATGTGTATTTAAAATTGATGTTTAAAAAAAATTGTAGGTTTAAACAAATATTGCAGGAGATATCACAGTTAAATTAACAAAGTACCCTTCAGCCTTGTAGATTCATTACAATCTTTTATTCTGCTCATAATGGTATTTTGAAGCTTATGTGATGAGGAAAACTATTGTTGTTGCTAGCTTTTTTAACTCTGCAATAGTTTCACGGAGAATATACATGAGCTAGCATAACCTAAGGGAAAAACAAAACAAAAACAGTCACCTTCCTTCTCCCAAAAAAGAAGGAAATGGACAAATTAGTAAAATAAATCTCTCTCCAGGAATGTGAAAAACCTCAGAACATTGTATTTCATTGTGTATTGTATAAGAATGTGGGTCGTAAGAAAACAAAATGCTTAAAAAAGCACAGGTGAAACTTATCATCCATCTGCCCATGCAGAGAAGTTTTTGACTGATTCTAGGTTGAAAACAACAGCATGCCTTTCTAGACTATTTTATTATGTTGCACAGAAATATGGTGATTAGAGTGCACATTTCATATATATATAAAGCAGAGCATAGATAACTGAAGATATTAGTTATTCATTGTAGTTATAGTGTTGAGTTTTTCTTCTTCTTTGAAGCTGTAAAACACTAGTTTCTATCATATTCACACCGATTTCAGTTCATCAAGCTGGATCATCTCATGGAACATAAATAGAAGCCAGTTTCTCTCAGAGGATTCTACATGCAACATTCCTTCCTTTAGACAGGATGTGTGCTGTGTCGCATTTAAATAATCCGGTTAAATCTTTCTTGTGACACATTTCTTCAGATCAGAGATTTTGAATCTGTTGGGAATTTACTCTTGAGAGGCGATTGTATGGCTTTAGGTTTATAGCCTCACTCTGTGGGGGAAAAAGCTCATTGCAAAAAACGGCTATGCGCAGTTGAAATCATGAAACATAAAAGCTAGGTACTAGTTTAATGTAACTTCCCACCTGTTAAAGTGCATTTTTCTTCCCTCCCCCCCTTTTTTTTAAATGGCTATTGCATTATTTAGATATCAGCCAACAGAAATTTTAAAAGGGAAGATTTTTATGCAAGAAAGTTAATTCTATTATAGTGCATTTTTTTTTTTGGTAGTGATTGGGTATTCTATTTTTTTTTTTTTTTTTTTGTTTATCATGTTGTTTGTATTTAACTTTTGTAAATCACCACAATTCAATATATATATATAATAATTTATAATCAGAAAATTCTCCATATACCATCTCCAAGGAACATAAATTCAATTTAAAAACCATGAATACATGTTTAATATTTAAATTTGTAATTAAATACTTGTTTTTACTTTAAATTTAGGGATTGTATCATTTTTAACTTCCTATGATTTTGAATTACTTTTTTATGTTCTAAAATATACTTTTGTTTTTAAGATTGAAATTGAGAGTGTAGGGGATATGTCTTAAGTAAGCGCCCCGCTCAGTTTTTGTTCTTAGTGAGAAACTTTAAATTATTCTTTAAAGATTATTTGCTATTTATGTTGTTTAACAGGATTCTTTTGGCTTAAATGGACTAATGTCTTTATTTGGATTGAGAATTAATTCTGACTTGTGATTTGAATCTAGCAAATAATTTGATGTTTACTTAGAAGTAAGATGAAACACTCTCTCTTAATTTAGTTTCTGTTAATTGATGGTGGATTGGTTTATCCCCTCGGTAAGTTGATTAATCTGCAGTCATTGACAATAGCTACTTTTTCAATACTTAAAATGTTTACTTTTGGTTTTGGTATTTTTGCAATTAAAGATTTTTATTTGCAGATTTTTTTTAAGTAAGTAGATATTAAAATACTAATTTAAAATATTAAAATTTTGACTAAATTTTTTTTTCATTCATGGTTTTTAAATTGAATTTGTGTTCCTTGCAGATGGTATACGGAAAGTTTTCTTATTATAAATGATTTATGAATTATTAGTCTATTACTTTGCAGCTTTGGCGCAAGTCATAGGCCTTTTTAATTTACTTTCAATTCCTTTGATTTTGAATATACATGTATGCATGCATTGATTGTATTCTTATTATGTAAGTAAATAATACAAAATTTAGACTAAAATTTGTGCTTTAGAGCAAATATTGAATGCAGTTTATAATTTTACATAAACCTACCTTTTAATATTTTTCTCTTTTTTAATTGTTATTGTTATTAATGTAAATTTTACTTCAACATTTGGAGATTGACTTCACTATTCTAAAGGGGAGGTGTATTTTACAAAATAAATATCCTCTGTTATTTTTTTAAGTAAAAAAAAGTTTGAATATATTTGCTGATAGTCATAGAAATAGAAAGTCATTTGTCTTAATTCATCTGAGCTATGCCTGTTCTTAGTTTATTTAAAAATATGTGTTGTATTTTTATAACTTTTTCACTACCATCTTTTTATTATTTTCAAATTCATATGGTTTGAAATAGAAATAAAATAGTTATTGAATTGTAAATATTTTTTTCAAACATTAATATTTGAAAATAATCAATTTTCTAAAGCATACATATACAAATAAAATGCAAATAATAATTTAAAAATATCTACACCATTTATGCAACTGGGATATTTATTTATGAGGAAAATGTAAATATCTATGAGCAACATATTTTCTGTAATGATTATATGTCTTGAGCCATGCAGCTCCTGAACAAATGAATATGAGAATAAAGCAAAGTGTAAATATATTTGAAATTTATCTAGATATTCTTTG